TGCAACTTGAAAGGCTTGCAATGTATCATCATTCCAACCGACCTCCTTGGAAGGTGGATAAGAAATGGGAAGATCTCAGTCCTAAAGACTGGGTTGGGTGATTGAAGGTGATGTTGGTTCTTGACACAAGACTAGAGATATCATATTTTGGCATGGCTAGAAGCTTTGGAGGAAACAAGACTCAAGCAAAAGTAAACACACAGAGAGTTGTTGGCACATAGTAAGCTAGATGATGCAATTGTATATAAATGAGTTCATTTTTTTATAACATTTACTCACTATTGGAATAATTATTTGTATTTGACATATTAGTGAAATGAATTATCTTTGTCATTTATGGTAATTTATTTTGTATTATGAGATTTTTAATGTATTATTTAATTTCAAAATGTAAATCTATAAATAATATTTTTTTAAAACATTTAAAATTATGATACGCAAAAATGTGTGTCATCTTCATTTATGACATGGCCTTTCTTGACAGGGGATTTCTTGATACGCATTGCGTGTCATTAAGACGTGCGTCGTAAGGTTACAACACGCGAATGCGTGTCGTCTTCCTTTATGACAGGGCCTTCCTTGATACGCATTGCGTGTCGTAAACGCGAGTCGTAATTGCGCGTCATAAATGAGCATCGTAAATGTGCGTCGTCTCTCTTTATGACAGGGCCTTCCTTGACACGCATTTGCGCGTCGTCTGAGCCTTTTACGACGCGCAATGAGCGTCGTAAAAGGCTGTTTTTCTAGTAGTGTTCAACGGCTACCCACAAAAATCCTTTGGTTATCTCTTCTATAAAGCGAGTGAAAATGTTGTCTTCGTGGCGAGGAGAGGAGTCTTTTACGAGAAGGAATTCATAAGCCAATGAAATAGTAGGAGGTAAATTGACCTTGAAAAACTTCAAGAGTCAAGCGGTGAAGGAACCTCAAACACTAGCAGTCAACTTGAGGAGGAAACTCATGTTGAGCCGATTGATGAGTCTGTACCACTGAGGCATTCCACAAGAGTTAGGAACACACCTGATTTTTATTATGGCTTCCATATTACTATAGAAGGTGATGCACTTATCAGTGATAGCATACTGGTAAATATGGATGAACCTAATAACTACAAGGAAGCCATAGCAAGCCTCGAGTTTGCAAAAGGGAAAGAGGCTGTGGACAGTGGGATTCAGTTCATGTATGACAATCAAATTTGGAACTTTGTTGAAAATGTACCGGGTTGTAAGACAGTCGGGTGAATTGGATCTTTAAGGGGAAGACCGACATGGATGGGAATGTACATACTTATAAAGCACGACTGGTTGCAAAGGGCTTTACTTAAACTCCAGGAGTTAATTATGATGAGACATTCTCACTAGTAGCGAAGATTAAGTCTATTTGGGTTATGCTGGCCATTGTTACATTTCATGATTATGAAATATAGAAACTGGATGTCAAAACCGCTTTCCTTAATGGAAAGTTGGTTGAGGATTTTTGCAAAAGTCAGCCAGAGGGTTTTGTTGATGAAAAGTACCCTAATAGAGTGTATAAGCTTGAGAATTCCATTTTTGGATCTCACAGATGGAATCTTTGTTTCGATGAGAAAGTCTAAGAGTTTGGCTTTTCGAGGAGCGAGGATGAGTCCTGCATATATGTCAAGGTAAGTGGGAGTATACTTAGCTTTTTGGTATTATATGTGGATGGCATACTACTTAGAGGAGATGACATCCCAACCTTGCATGAAGTTAATTCCTGGCTTGGGAAGTGTTTCGCTATGAAGGACCTTGGAAAAGTTGCTTATATCATAGGGATAAGGATATTGAGAGACAGGAGTAGGAGACTAATTCGAATTAGTTAAAGTACCTACTTGGATAAGGTGTTAAATAGGTTCAGAATGCAGGATTCCAACAAAGGTGACTTACCGATCCAAAGTAACACCAAACAGAGTAAGACTCAGAGCCGGAGTATAGAGGATGAGATAGCTAAGATGAGTCGAGTACCATATGCTTCCGGTGTAGAGCTCAATCATGTTTGATATGACTTGTACTCGCTTGATGTGCCCTTTGGCTTTGAGCATGGTCAGTAGATTTCAAGGGAGTCCTAGCAAGGCTCACTGGACTGTGGTGAGTAACATTCTCAAGTACTTGTGGAGGACTAAGGACTGGATCCTTACCCTTGGTAGGAGTGATGACTTGAGAGTAGTAGGGTATAGTGATGCCAACTTTCAGACAGATATGGAGAGTTTTGCTCTCAGACGCACTGGGTCTTTACCCTAAATAGAGGAGCAATTACTTGGATAAGTTTCAAGCAGGAGACTGTAGCTGGTTCAACTTGCGAATCATAGTACCTAGCAACAAGAGAGGTGGCGAAGGAGGCAATATGGCTGAAGAACTTCATTGGAGACCTTGGAGTTGTACCAGCTATAAAGGATCCTATGACGATTTTCTGTGATAACGAGAGTGTAGTTGCCTTAGCCAAGGAACTAAGGGATCACGGTAGATCCAGGCACATTGACAGAAAATACCACTTCATTAGACATCGAATAGAAGAAGACTCCTTGTGATAAAGAGGGTATCATCGGATGAGAACCTAGCAGATCCCCACACGAAGGGATTGTGCAGGGTTAACCATTTACAGCATGTGAGGCGCATTGGGCCAAGGGCTGATATTAGTTTTAGTAGTTAGATAGCTTTCGAAACTTGTAATAGTTGAAATGTAATTCACACTTGATGTTTAAGTAAAAGGTGTTTTATTTACTAGTATGGTACTGTCTTGTGTCAATCATTTACTATTGCTTCATTTTGCATGTGTTGACTTCCATAATAATTATGTTATCGTATATCATATTATTCAAACTATCCACAATCGATCATACTTTGGAAGTAGGTATTGAAATAAGATTTTCATGAATTGAGTTTGTAGATTTGTCTGAATTGTATTAGACATAACAATTGTTGCTGCAACATTCATGAGTGCTCATAAGTTCTGAGTATTAGATTCAACCCATGCTCACTTGTATCACTTCATGGAATTTATCTCAAGTGATTGTGGGATGGTAGCTTGGTGTTATAAAATGTACTGTTGTATACAATTTGATGATTAGTTAGTACAAGCATATGAGTCGAAGTTTATCTATTCCTTTTAGTCTTTGGAGGATTAAAAGTGATATCTTGGGCCTCTCGATTATCTTGCTTTGGCTTATGTGTCGGGCCCGGTTACAACTGAAATGATGTGTTTAATTAATTTCTATGTCAAACAAATCAGAAATGGGGAAACAAACTGATGGAGAATAAGTACGACGTTGTTCCATGAATTTGTCCGGTTGATATCTTGAATAGAGGATTAAATGATCACTTATCTAAAATGGCAGAACTTAGTTTCGCGAGACTTTTAAGAGCTACGATTCCTGGTCAGATCCTGAAGTTGTACCTGCAACCATAGTTATTAAACTTATCCCAGTGGGAGACTGTTGGATAAGGTCTTAAAGTGCATAACTATATTTGGTATATACTTAACCCGATTTAGCATGGTCCATTTGGGTTGCATGGCATCAGAACAATTTGATAAACTTTTGTGAGAAGAAGATATTTATGATTTGTTAATATATTATAACTTCTAATATATTAATATTAAATCATATTATTTAATTAGTATTGATCAAGAATTAGTTTGGATTTTGTGATCAAAAAAGGCTAATTAAATAAATGGGGATTGATTTGGTAAATCATTCATTCTTATATAGTGGGCTTATGATCCATGATTCTTCATGGTGGGCTAAAACCCATGTGGTGAGCCATGGATACTCCATGGAGGTTAAAACCCATGGATCATGAAGAATATGGAAGCTCATGAATTACATGGTGTAACCCTAATGTACATACTATATGATGAAGACTCATACAATTAAAATTGGCACTTAAGATACACAAGTGAGGGCTAGCCGATTTTTGTCTAATACATTATTCTCTCAAGTTATTCCAATTATTGGTGGTGTTGTGTGAACCATTTGAGGCATCACATTTTGGGTGCTCAGCTCACAAAGTCTTAAGGAATGAAAGCTAAAAGAAAGTTATGTCATTCTACTAGTTTTTTATATTACATATACCCCATGATATGCTAGTTAGGATGAAAACCCTGGAAAAAGAGAGTTTGTATGTATACTAGATAAAAGATAGATCCAAAGTCTCTAAGGTTTTATGTAGACCATAGGAGTGTTAGAATGCCCAAAACCCATCAGTAAGGGCGACTTAATAATTTCATTTGTGGTGCATTCTTCACACGTGACCATCATTACCATGTTGTCGGAGTTGAGTATAAAAATTGGTTGTATGTCATGAGTACTACACATCTGACATTTGTTGTGAGCTAGACTTTGAGATACAAGGGATTGAGAGTTGTTGGATGCATCTTACTTATTGTTATTGATCTTTTCTTGCCACTTTGTTATTATGAGGCATATTTTATGTTTTTGTAAAGTTAATTGTTTTATAGAAAACTTTTGGACATGTAAGACTCTTATATTATTTTGGATTATAAATCCAAGTCCTATTATTTCTTTTGGATGCATTGGAAACATTGAATTTGAAAATGTGGATTTCTATCCTATTTTAATTCACTTGAACGTTAAATAGTTTGAATATTGTATTTTATTCTTGTTAGGAATAAAATCCTATTAGATCGATTAGATTTTGACAAGTAAAGTAACAATATGATATGAAAATTAAAATGCAAGAAGGATCAACTGGTGTCGAATGATTAAAAGACACAACCTCAGAAGAAATCTATGAAGAATTGCTATTGTAGAGGTGTGTTAGGGTTACAACAAAGATTGATCAAAACAACTAACTAAAATAAGATGCATGCGTGCACCATATATACTCCAACCGTAATACTAACTATTGCTGGATAGGCCCAAACCATTTACAAAAAGGACTAATAACAAGGCCCAATGACACAACACATACAATACTCAACATTCTCCCCCTTTGCGTCAATTGGTTCGTAACCCGTCATCCAGTGATTCACTTCTGTACTTCGTAGATTTTCGGAACAAAGCTCAACATCATCTTACGAAGTTGGATGTACCACAAAATCATATCAAAAAAACACTTGATGTCATCCTTGTGGCTGCCCTTAAATTTGGTGATCAGGTCCAATATAAATTCCAGACAAGCAGTGTTATATAGATGTTTATCTTCAAGATAGAAGTAAAACTTTCGAAAATCAACATCTGATATTTCTCTAAGTTGATACACTATGAACCATCCTTCCTTGTATATTTTTCCTGTCTTTAATTTTTTAAAGTCTGTCGGAGACTCCTTAGGAACAACAATCGGCTTCTTCTTCAAAACAATGGCTATATCCACATCCATCGAACCAAACTCCTGAATATAAGACTTGATCATAAGTTGGAGATGGGACACTACAGGCTCGTACTTCTCTTTCTCTCTCAGCAACATGTTATAAAGAATGATCTAGTCATTAGAGTTTACGCAGGGCAAGTCTGCGAGGGAAATTTTGTATGATTGACAAGCTGATCCTCTCGCTACTTTAAACTTGGCATTAGGGAAGCTTTCAGTCTCAGTGACCTTTACAACCACTATCTTGTGTGCGCTCCAAGTTTCGTACTGGGGCTTCATGTGCTTCAAGTAAAATGAGAACAATAGTTGATCAATGCTACTGTCAGTGAGAGGAGCATTCACAACCTTCACAAAAGCTCGAAACTTGAATCCTTTGGGAATGATTGGAAGATCAAGGTGCAAATCCTGAGAATTTTGAAAATCAAAGGACACAACAGGATCTAGAAAATATTGAGTAGGCATGTCCACAACATCATGTTGAATCTTCTTCAAGGTCTACTTCGGAAATAATAACATTCTACTCTTGAGGGTGGCTTGAGCTTCCTTTTCTGCCCTTTACTTTTGCTCAACTTTTTTAACAGTTCGTTGGGCTTCGTTCAATTCAGCATCACGAGCCTTCCGCCTTTCAAGTTCGGCTTCATTAGGCTCTTTGTCTTCGTCATCATCGATAATAGGCTCGTCTTCGATCAGTTTTTCCTTGCCGTTAGATTCTTTCTTGACAACAGGCTTGGCAAGAATTTTGGATGTTCAGCCTTAGATACTCCTTCTCCCCCTTGTTTCTGATCAGATGACTGAGGAGAAACACCCTCTAGATGATAAAGAATTGCAAAGACCGGGTTCAGCCTCTCTGCAAGGTGTTTGCGAACTGTAATGGAGATCATTGAGTCCTTGGTCTCAATGATATCTAAGAGCAAACTAGTAACATCTGCAATGCAACTTCGCACAAACTGCCCTCTCAGATAGGAAATCCTTGACCTATTTCTCAGATTATTAAAGTTGTTGATCCAAGACTTTAACCTTCTCTGTCTTTTTGTCTAGGGAATCCGTAACTTTATTTTCCATTGCCAAATCATCCTAAAGCTTAGTTATTTGCAAAGTGACGGATGACTGGAAGGAGGCATGGTCCTGCTGCAAACCAGTGCGAATCTGCTCTATGTTAAGCTTCTCTGTTTTGAACATTTCTCCTAGGTGTTTTAGAGCTTCATTGGTAGAAATTGTATTGTTGTTGTAGGTAGTTCTATAATTCTCCATGAAATCTGTTGTTTCAGCAATTAGTATATCACTTTTTTGGTCGTGGATTTTTCATATCTCAGCAGACTCCAAAACTATTGTGTTCATCTTTGCAATATGTTTGGCATGGTCTTTTGTTAGTTTCCTGAATAATGATTCAGCAATTGCTTTTGATTAGGCGTCAGAGGAAGAAGCCTTAGAGGCTAAAACCAGTTGATCAAGTTTCTCATGAATTGCCTTAAGTTGCGCTTTGGAAACAGTGGCTTCATCTTCACTTTCAGTCCTGATCTGAAATGGACTATAAGTGAATCCAGCAAGATCATCATCAGCGTCCTCATCTCTAAAGATCATATCTGGATCATCATTGCGAATCAAACAGATGGAAGAAGAAACAAAGGTAGAGAAGAACGAAGTTGTGGCCCTCGTATCAAATACGTTGATCGTGGCTTCAGGGTTCGTGGAAATGATAGGTGGTGCGGTTGAAGCAGATAATATTGGTGTGGAACAAGGAATAGTAGTAAGTTGAGATGAAGTAACTGTTGGGTTATGAGCATTCTAACACTCCTAAGTGTACATGCAACCCTAAATACCTTGGATCTATGTTTTTTGTATTATACATACAAATATGAACATCCAAGGTATTATCCTAATCTAGCATACAAAACTATCAATATAACAAGATAGAATACATACCTCTTTGATGTAGAATGTCTTCATGAAGCTTGAGTACCTAGTGCCCCAAGTGTGACACCTCAAATGGTTCACACAACACCAAATACACTTGGAATAACTTGAGAGAATTCTACACTTCATGAAAATCGGCTAGCCCTCTCTAGAATCATACTAGTGGCCGATTTTGTCAAGAATAATATCTTTATATAGTGTTACAATTAGGGCAAACCCTAATTGTCATGACTTTCCATTTCCTTGGATCCATGGGTTCAAATACACCATGGAGCATCATATGGGTTTTGGCCCAACTAGATAATCCATGGAGCATTAGCCCCCTATACAAGTATGGATGATTTACACAATCAACCCATATATTTAATTAGTCTTCTTTTGATCACTTAATTAATCCTAGATTAATTCTTGATCAATACTAATTAAATAATCTTATTATTCTTATTATTAATATACTAGAACTTATAATATATTAATAACCATAAGTGTCTTATTTCTCTAATTATAGTCAATCCAAGTGCATGATGCCATGCAACCCAAATGGACCATGCCGGGTCTGGTCAAGTCTTACCAACTATAGTTATGGACTTAGACATTAATCCAACAGTAACAGGAGAGGCACATGGAGAAATTGTATTAGGGGTTGTGGTTGTTTTTGGAGACGGATGAGGATAAGGAACAGATTGATTTACCTCTGGGTTTGTAATATCTTCTGTAGTGTGAACAAAGGGTTCAGGGTTCACAGTTGAAACTCGAGTACAAGCAGGCTCTTCTTCCTCGTTGCGAATTGGTTGATTGTCATCAATTCGAATATCTGACTCCGTTTCAGAATCTAACGCTTCTATCGGTGATGGTGTAGGAGTTTTGCGTTTGTGAGACGGTTGTTTCCTTCGCTTTAGAGCGGAAGCAGAAGAAGCTACTGGTGCTTTTCACTTTTTTGGTGAGGGCTTTACAGCACCGTACGAACCTTAAGTTGTAGCAACCTTCTTAACTCCTTTATTTGATCCCTTACCACCCTTCTTCAGTTTATCAGCAGCATCAAGGGTTTCTTTCATTTCAGGTGTGAGAGGCCTAAACCCAGAAGGTGTAAGTTTATGAAACCTGTCTAGAATAATGGTAGATGCAGGAACTTCCCAAAACATGACTTCAGGAATAGATCCAATGAATGAGAATTTTGAGGTATTCGCTACAATTATCCCTGTTGTGTGAAAGGTAGAAACGGAGAAAGAGAGGGCATCTTGCATTGTTGGGATGTTATGTTTCTCGATAGCCCTACAAACAATTAGGGACCAGAACCTTGCACAAGAGATCTCAATGTATTGAGAGGTTGAGATAGTTCTTTGAATCACTTGAGCCCATAGAACTGCTCCAAAATCTATATGCATCCCTGTATACAGACCATAAATGAGGGACATGAATAACTTACTTGTACAGTCAACCCCTGTAATTCTTTCAGAAAGCTTGTGAAAGGAATGCTGAAGAGAGCATTCCATTAGGGAGGAAGGTTGGGCTTGCGAAATTTTGAGAGTGTAGACAGATTCTCCTTATATCATATTCGGTAAAACATCTCCAGAAGAGCGACATTGGAGACTGTTTATGGATTAATCACATCCTCTAACTATGGAAGCTCTAGAAGGGAACATAATCTGGTCTTAGTGATGGAGGTTTTCTTATCTTGAATCTCAAAGACAATCTTGTTCTCTGTCCAGATGTAACTTGCAGTAGAACACGCACTGGAAAGAAGAGACATCAGCACATCCTCCATTTTGGTTAAGGCATGAACCAATGTTGAATATTTGAGACACTCGATCATGGAGAAAAGATACGACTCATATTTTCAAGGATACAAATCGATAAGAAGATTCTGGTTTTGTTTGACCGCTAGAAGAGAAGATTGAACATTGTGATCTTGAACTGAGGATGAGGTCGCCATTTGAAGGTTTGAGGAAGACGATGAGCAGTAGAGAGCGTTTTGTTGCCATATATCTTTAGTGAAGATTTTGAAAGTGATAATGAGAGAGGAACCGTCAAAACCTTTATATAGTATTCGATCTGTGAGAAAAATCCGGAGAGAGACTACATCAAATACTGAATTGTTGCTTGAAAAAGCACGACTTGACAACTGTAGATGTCAGACGTATGCGTCATGCGACGGAAAAACAACTGGCCATTTCAAAATTTGCACGCGTCCTTTTGATATCTTATCATAAGTATTTGTCTCGTCATCATCCATCTTTCGCAGTTACAAATTCTTTGTCCAACTCTTACAAATCTTCACTTTCAAAAAATATCAGGAGAAACTCCGAGCCTGAAAGAAGTTATAAAGAACCACAAACAAGACTTTTGGAAGATCACAAGGATCTTCGTGCAAGAGTATATATGGAAATTTTGTGATGATTGTACAATGACATAAATCAGTTAATCTTGGGAAAAGATTTCCTTCCTTCGAAGTCAAGAGAGACTAAGAAGTGTTTGTGTGGTTTCCCATTGAAATACGATCAAATGTTTTCTAAGAAACACTATAAGGCTTCTTTTATTTAGGCTTATTGGGTGGATAACACTTCAACTAGACAAAAAACTTGATATTAGAATGAATGTCAGATGAAGTACTCATGTGACGAGTGTAGTCAGTTGAACGAGTAGGTTCGGAATTTTGGTGACTAGAGAAAGAATTAAAATCTCAAACAAAAATAAAACTGCATATTTTGGGAAGAATTGTCTCAGATTCAGAATAATTCATAAAGACATCGAATGAATAAAAAAGATTTCGAGGTACACACCATAAAAATGCCTTCCGTGAATTCATGGATGAAAAGCTAGAACTTTCAGAGGTTCACCGTCAATTCATTATGGTGTTGGATTTTGGGTTTCACTCAGTTCATGGTGTACAAAGATAAGATCATGGACACAGATGTTTCGTAACCATAAACCTTAGTGTTATAGCTGAGAATCTCAAGGGTTATATTTATGAATGTGAAGGCTAATGGAGAAGAGTAAAGATGGTTCAAGAACCAAACGTACCTCTGCTAAACTTAAATGACCAAGCAGATGACTCGTAACTCAATGTGAGACGAGTAAGGTAGCTCATAACTAATTTGAATTTAGCAGCCTAATTTGGAGGAAATGAATGATAGATTCAATTCATTAATGCTTCACATAGAGTCGGGTGAGGCGTCGGACAACATGCAACAGCATGCTTCTAGGGACACTTAGCTAATACATGGATAAAGAATTTTATACCTGCCCCATCAAGCAAATTGGAAGAACTCTTTAATTTTGTTGATTCGTGTTTTGCAATTATCTATTTTTGGTATTTCAATTTTTGTGAAATAGAAAAGAAATAAAACTAAACACAAAGGAAAATATTTTTGGATTTTGGTTTCTCTGAAAAGAAATAAAAAATGAAATTTAAGATATGCTTAAACGAAATCGTGTATATAATGTACAAAAGGATATAAAAGACCAAACCACAAACAAACAGTTGACTGTGAAATACTATGAGCAATCTCTCCAATTCGCATCGAGAAAATTACGAATGAACAGTTGTTAGCGAGCCACTGCGAGCGTTCGTACCAATTTGTCGTTACTCCTTTATTAGTGCGAAAGTGGTTTTGGTACTGATTCAACTTCCATCATTGCAAGACCTTGAAGGATTCTATTAAAGGATGTTTCACGAAGGGGCTCAGTGAAAATGTCAGCCAACTGATCAGAGGATCTTAGGAAATGTATCTCGATGTTATCATCTTCCACGTGATCCTTGATAAAGTTATTCCTCAGTGTTATATGTTTCGTATTTGATTGTTGCACTAGGTTGTGACAAATGCGAATTGCACTTTCAGAGTCACAATAAAGGGGAATTCATTTCATATTCAGGCCATAGTCTCTTAATTGACTTTGAATCCAAATGACCTGTGAAGCACAAGACGTAGTAGCTATATACTCAGCTTCGGCTGTAGACAAAGATACACATATTTGTTTCTTGGATTGCCAACTGACAAGTTTTCCATCGAGAATTTGACAACCACCAGTAGTGCTTTTTCTGTCTAAGCCACATCCACCAAGATCAACATCCGAAAAGGCTTGAACGAAGAATCCTGATTTCGTTGGATACGATATGCCAAGAGAAGAGGTTCGTTTCAGGTATCTGAATATGTTCTTGACTGCCACCACGTGAGGTTCGCGAGGGTTTGCTTGGAACCTTGCACAAGAGCAAATGGAAAACATAATATCCGGTCTACAAGCTGTTAGATACATTAAAGAACCGATCATCTGATGATAAAGGGTCATATCCACAACTGGTTTTTCTATAGATGGTGTAAATTCATTCTGAATGCCATTTGAACCTTCACTTTTGAATCTCCCATCATGCTAAACATTACAAGAAAAGTTTTAGTGTAAGCCTCCTGATTCATGAAAATTCCTTCTGGTCCCTATCTAATATTCAGTCCAAGGAAAAAGTTAATTGGACCCATTGAACTCATATCAAATTTAGTCTTCATTATCTTGCAAAACTTCGTTGTTAAGCTAGGATTCGTAGAACCAAAAATGATGTCATCAACATAAATTTGGACGATCATTAGGTGGTCACCCTCTTTCTTGCAAAAGAAGGTTGGTTCAACCGAACCTTGTTTGAATTTTGAAATTTTTAGAAAGTGAGTTAAGGTTTCGTACCATGCTTTAGGCGCTTCCTGTAGACCATTAACCACTTTCTCCAAAATGTAGCACTGATTGGAAAATTTCTCGTTCACGAAGCCTGGTGGTTGCTCGACATATACAGTCTCCTCTAGTTCACCATTCAGGAAAGCATACTTCACGACCATTTGAAACACCTAAAAATTCTTATGTGCTACATAAGCCAGAAAGATACGAACAAATTCCAACCTTCCTAAAGGAGCAAAGGTTTCTTCATATTCAGTTCCTTCTTCCTGATAATATCCCTTGACTACTAGTCTCGCTTTATTTCTTATCACATTGCCTTCTTTATCTACCTTATTGCAAAACACCCATTTTAGACAAAAAACTGATGCATCTGGTGGATTTGGAATTAATCTCCAGACCTTGTTTCGCTCAAACTCATTGAGTTCGTCTTGCATCGTTTGCACCCAATCTGAATGATCAAGAGTCGTGTTGATGGTTTTGGGTTCGACCTTAGAAACGAATGAGTTGAACATAAAAGAATTCCACCATAGAGAATAATGCATTTTGCTTCGCTTTTAACTGAGATCGTGTGAGGACACCTGAAGACGATTCACTTATTACTTGAGGTTTTGGGTGATCTCTAGTCCATTTCGTTAGTGGAGGATAATTTGGATCATAAGAAAGATCCAGTTCGGCATTTACTTCTTCGAATTTTGACTATGCATCTTAATCATTATTCGCTTCTTTATTCTTGCCCCTCGAATGATGACGGATTTTCGCCCATAGGTTCAGAGTGCTCCCCCTCATCAGGAGTTCATGGGTAATGGTTGGAAATGGATGCTCCCCCTTAAAAGACACATTATGTTTAGAAGACGAAGATGAACCCTCTCCCTATAGTGCTGTATTTTCTTTTGATGTTTCGCTTGAGCTTGATGGTTCGTTTGAGCTAGGAGGTTTGTTTTCCATATGTTTCACAACATCGTCGATGATTTTTTTGAATTCATCCTCTTTATTGTCTGTTGCGTTACATTCAGAGGAAATGGCTTTTTCTGGTTCATCAAAGAGAAGCACAAACTCATCATGTAGAGTTGAGATTGGAACTGTTACTGGAATTGGCTTTGGAAGGATCTCCTTCATTCGACTTTCGTTTTGCTGAATCTTCTTCAAATAGTTATCATCAAATGTGACATAGTAGGTATCCTCTATCTTCTTTGAGTGTTTTCTATGACCCTAAAAGCCTTGGACTTCAGGTAATACCCCAAAAAGATACCCTCGTTAGCTTTTGCGTCGAATTTGCTCCGATTTTCCTTGGAATTAAAGATAAAGCACCTGGAACCAAATGTGACAACCCGAAATTTCTAGCTTACATTCTTCTTTTATATCAAAGTTAGCTTCGTTTTGCTATTTTATAATGAGGTTTTGGGTCTAAAACAGTGCTTAAAGCTTAGTATAATTGAGATACGTGTCAGAGGATGGGTTAGTTTGGTTGTGGCATTCGAAAAACGGGCCAAACACACCAAAACTGGTGTGTGTGGCCGCACACTAGTGTGTGCGGCTAGCCAGCCACATACAGGACAACCACACACACCTCCAACTGCACACACACCCTCCTATATATAGTATCCTTGGTCATTTTGATCATTTCTTACACTCTTGCAAAGCTAGGACTCGAAAATCCGCTCAAGTATCATCCGGAAAGGTAGCATCTTTCAGCAAGAACACCAAGAACACCATGTTTTCTAGCAGCACACCTGGCCACACACATGGCCGCACACATGTGCTGGCATCACACCTGGCCGCACACATGGCCGCACACACAGATATAGTGTGTATTTTGGCCATACACCCTTTTGTA